CGAAATCGCGAGCCGTTTGTTGGGCTGGATTCGTATCGTCCGGGGCTACAACCTTTACTCAGAAAGTATTTCGAGATAATGGATAGAAAAGTTCAGTTTTTACCTCAAAGTGGCTGCTGCGTTTTTGAGCTAAACATTTGGAAACTTTGGATGGTTTCTTGCTTGCTTCTCCTTCCTTGGCACAACAATGGAGATAAAACTTTCTTTCCCCTTTCTTGATGCTTGGCCGACAGAGAGATAATGGGAGGAGAGAGGAGTGTTGTGTGTGTGGATGATAAGAGATGATGATGATGGTGATATAGTATAGCTTTTCTTTGTTTATTATATTTTTCTTTTGATTTTTAGTGTAGGATGGGAAATTTCGGGTGACTTTGTGAAGATTGAGGTGGCTAGTGGAGATCATGAGCTGAATACGTGATTGAGTAGGGATTTTAAAATATTTTCTTACTCCGTAACTGTTAAACTGAGTAAAACGGTACGCGCTTTTTCGCCCAAACTGTTCCGAATTGAAAACGGATTATGTTTTTGGAGTCAGACTGTCAAAACTAGAATTTTGACGTAATCAAAATATTTTTCTAAGAACTTTTATTTTTTTCTGTGTTCGGGTCTATCTCAGTCATAAATTAATTTAATAATATAAATGATATAAAAATATATGAATTTAATCCAAATGATAAATATGGTGTTGTCAAGTGTCAAAAATTAAGATTTCTAATCTTATGAAATCTCTTTTGATTTGAGTTTATTTTATGGGTCAAAGTTACAAATTTTAATATTTAAAATCGTCATAGCTTGAAATCTATAAATCAGATTGGTTCATAAAATGTACCGTTGGATTTGTCTCTTCGAGACATATCCATAAAAATATGATTTTAACAAAAAGTTATTATTTTTAAAATCCATTTATTTTTAGTCAAACGTACAAATATTCCATATTGGATAAAAACTACTTTTGTTTTATAATAAATTTTAGGCCATATTTTGTGGCGTTACATTTCTTCCCCCCTTAAAGAAATTTCGTCCCCGAAATTTCCCTAGGTGAGAAGTCATTTAAATGATGATGTACAGAATCATAAATTCCATTGTTTTTGTAAAACACTAATTTTGAGAATTTGTTTTCTCTTTCTTTTGTTGAGTGTCATGAGTATGACATTTTCTCTTTTGAGAAAGGATATACGCGGATGATAGATGTAACGTGTTTAGATTTCTTTCATGAAGACTTGCGTCGAATATACTCTTAGACTTGCTCTTGTCGTGGTGTAGGAGTTTTCAGAAGTTCTTATATGGGTTGCATTTCGTGAATGAGGAGTTATTTACAAAATGTTTCGTGAATGTGGGGTAACTTGCAAAATTTTCCGTTTTTTTTTAAATTCTTCTAGAATCGTCCTCAGACGAGTTTGTCTGGAATGTTGGTTTCACAAATTACGCTTCGTTATTTACAAGCTGGAACGAATTATTTCGAGGTTTGACGTTTTTTTTACATAACGGTATTTTGGGAAATGACTATTACCATAGTCATCATTCTAGGTTTCTTAGATGAACATGTAATTATAGTTTCAAAACTTGAACTTTCATTAGCAATCCTTAATGGAGTTATTCTGATTAACGTAATGTCAACAATCTGATTTCACATGGCTTATGCATGCCTATAACCGTAAACATGCATATCACACTTATGTATAACAATAATATATGTTTTTTTTATCACATTGTAATGATTGGATGAACATATTGGATAACACTTGTTATTTTGTCACTGTTTGTATTATCAATATGATATGTAGTCATTCTTGAATACTGATTTTCTGATTGATGATTCCAGAATTGCCTTGGGATTTCCAACTTTCTCAATAATTATGATAGAGCTTCGTGCTCGAAAATTATAATATTAGTGTATTCGTCATATCACAAATATTCATCACACAATAGTTAAATTACTTATTACTAAAAACATGACAAATTATACACATAGTCATATTCTAATATGTTTGGGATTCTATAGACACATTCGTGGTTTCTCTTGGTGGTCCGCCCAATTGACTTAAGTGGAGATCACATTTACCTTCAGTGTGGTCATATTCACCACACAAATGACAACTTTTCCTTTCTAGTTGTTGCACATATGTTCCTTTGTTAGGGTTAAAGCAGAGTTGCTTGATCATCATTGATAATAATTTTCATAGACAACGTAGTCACATCAATCGTTACAGAGTTTGGTTTTTGAAGATCGGTATCATAAAACATCTTCTTGGGTTTGAGGGAGAGTCATGAGTTACAACAAGTTCTTCAATGATTTGATACAGAAAATGGAATTCAATCTTTTCAAGATTGATCAAGTGAGATGCTTCAACTGTGTAATTTACACAGCAAGTTTTAGTATTTCAAGGATGCGAGTCACAAGATACAAAGATAACATTTGCGAATTACCACTCAATGTTTCGCCCTTTGAAAATTACTCAAAGAGTCATTCTCTAGGGAAGTAGTCATTTTGACTTTTCATCTCGGATTTGAATGTATTTCAGGACAACGAGCCTAACTATTCATGAGTCTCAATATGTCATGTCGTCAGCAGATTGTAGTATTGGCGAGTACATTCTTGTCTGGAGCAAATCCACTTTCCTATACGTTTTTAGACTAGTGATAATTACTTTTCCATCAATGGTCCAGTTTCAGAGTCTATATATACCAAATTGTGGCAAGAGCGTCTCACATTCTCACATTATGGAAGGAACTTCTCGAGCTCTTTCTAATACCATAAGATTCGTTGGTCTACTTGGTAGTCATGCTCTTGGTAGCAATCCAAGGTTCATGGCTACAGCGGTTGATCTAGGAAGTGAATTGGTAAGGCGAAAAATCAGGCTTACCTACGGAGGAGGCAACGTTGGCCTTCAAGGAGCTGTAGCTTCAACGGTCTATAATAATGGTGGTAGAGTCAGAGGTTTCATACCAGGGTATATAGCAACACGAGGGGTCTATGGACCAACATATGGTGTGGAGTACACCGTCTCCAGCAATTACTATAAGTATTTCGAGATGAATCATATTGTGGAAGCCTTCATTGTACTTCCTGGAGGAATTGACACTATGGAGGGTTTATTCACTTTGATCTCATGGGCATCCGAAGGGTTACACAGTAAACCCATTGGTCTTTTGAACATTGACGGTTATTTCAATAACCTAATCAAGTTTCTAGATGATGCGGTGAGGCAGAACTTCATGGCTTTGAATCGGAGGAAACTTTTTATTTCTTCTTTCTTTGTTGATTAGCTTTTGGACAAGCTAGAGTTTGCGAAAGCTTTCCCGGGTCCTGGTGCCAGTTATGAAGAGTTTGCAAATCCTGGAAGATTAGACTTAGAGTTGCATCTGTAATATAATATTATTCATGTACATTATGTGTTAGTCATAAATATCGTTCTAAGCTGCATGACCAGTGCATTTCAGAAAAGTATTTATTTCTAACATCAATATGTACCATGTAAATATTAATCCTTTTCTTTATCTTCGAGTCTTTCTCTATTGATGTGACAGTTTCACATCTTGTTTTGTATTGTCATCTTGTTGCGACCTTTCACGTGAATAGGGTATACGAACGAGTCAGTTATCTTAATGTTTGTATGTAGATTCACTCCTAGAAGGTGTTTCAGATTCGATACATATGTCCTATTCGATCTGGTTTGTGAGGTTCTATTCATGCTTTTAGAAAACGACAGATTTACCTTTTGGAGAATTCGTTCACTTCCTATTGGAGAAAGTTCTTTCTTCAACGTATCCTTCGGGTAGAGGGAAGTTGATTCACATTATTCACTTAGCCATTTGCGTACTATGACATACGTATATGTCGCGCTTGTCGAGTTTACAGTCCTTTTTTTGATCTTCTGATGTCGACTGTGATCGCCGAAGAACATTTCGAGGCAATCTAAACTTTGTTGTAATCGAGTCTATGAGGATAATAGCAACTCAAAGGAAGCAAATTTTCAATGAGTTAAGATTGTGTGTTATGCCATAGTAACTTACTTGTTGATTACCTTCCCGGGGCAGAGATGTCGTGGAGGATGTGGATGCAGGACTTTGAAAATATTGACTCAATGATCCGAAAATCGTTTTGCTCTGATACCAAAATGTAACACCCCAATCCGTATAACCCGGAATTACACGAACTAAGGTGAAACGAGAGTTAAATAAAAATTTCACTTGACATTTGAATATGACAATTACTTAAAAATATTAAATTTACAGACTCTGGATCGCGACCCATTTAAAAATATTTTCAGAGTAATGCGGAAGTACAATAATAATCAAATCATGACACATTTTAAAATCTGTTGACCAAACATTGCCTACCATCCTTGCATCTCCTCTGACTCAATGCCCTCCGGAAAAGGTTCCATCATTGTCTTCTTGTTACCTACGTGTAGTCAACGAAAAATACAAACTACACGCTCAGCGAAACCGCTGAGTGGTACTACGCTAGAATTGTAGAATAATTCATAGACATATACGTATATATATGTCCACAAAAATGTATAACAATATTCCTGATATGACACTTTATATCATATGGTCAATTTGATGAATCATGATGATAAATATTTAATGATAATTGCATGATTATGGCACATTTAATTTAATCAATTTGATTGTTCTTGATGATGATTACATGACACCTATGTAATCAATATAATTGTTCTTGATGAGGATTATATGATGCGTAATTGATGTTACACATAGTCATGATGATTTTACTTGATGATGACTTCATGCTGTATGATTCTAAGTCAACAAGGAATGACCTTGCAACTATGAGATTCGCCCATTTGGTACGACGAACTCATGTCCTTCTTAGTCTCACGAGGGAGACTAGAAAAATAAGGGTGGTACTCGAAAGTCTGAATACCATGTACGTACACTAAGCCCGGTCAGGGTTGTCGGACTACTAAGTCCCGCACAACCACGCTATAAGAGACGCAATTACGCATGATCTCTTACGCATGCATATGATATGATATGCTACAATATGTGTGATGATATGAGTCATATGATATGAACAATTTGTAAATAATATGAATGGATAAATATACTTTATTTTATTTGGGTGAAATCTGATAAAAATATCATTTAATTAAGTTACGGGGCTCGGAACGGTTGACCGTTTGGCGGGACGGTCGACCTTGATCTTCATCAAGTCGGATTTGACGGATCACCGTGACGATCGACCGTGGTTGACCGGTAGTCGACCGTTGTTGACTGCTTCAGTGTGGCTGCGTTTGGCTGAGCTTCGGCGGTCGACCGTTCTATCGACAGTAGTAGTCCGTCTTGATGTTTAATACGACGGTCGACCGTTTGGGTCTGCGAAACTTTCTCTTAATATTTTGAGTGTCCAAAATACTTCTTTAAGTCTTTTAAACACCTCTGATTGAAATATACATATTATTGGGTCGATTCTCAAAGTTTATATTTACTTATGTGTATATTAACTTTATGGATTTGGTGCATTTTGGTCTTAACATATAGATGACTTATATATGCATCACATATATAATTTGGGATGATTTAAACATATGGATT